TCCTCCTGGACACCACCCCCAAGGCCTTCTACCCTCCCTCGACCTCTTCATCTCCAACTGCCATCGCGACATCGATCGCCTCAACCTCTCCACATCTCTCATTGACTCCAACTTCTCCCCCACAGAATGTGCAGCCCCCCGCTCCAACCTGAACCTCACCATCAAACCCACGGACAAGGGAGGCACAGTGGTGGTATGGCACACTGACCTTTACACTGCCGAGGCCAGGCACCAGCTCTCGGACACCTCCTCGCACCACCCCCTTGATCGTGACCCCACCACTGACCACCAAAACATCATCTCCCAGACCATCCATAACCTCATCACCTCAGGTGACCTCTCGCCCAGAGCCTCCAACCTCACTGTTCCCCAACCCCGCACCGCCCATTTCTAGCTCCTTCCCAAAATCCACAAACCCGAATGCCCTGGCCGACCCATTGTCTCTGCCTGTTCCTGCCCCACTGAACTATCTCCATTTATCTTGACTCTATTTTCTCCCCCCGGTCCAGAAACTCCCCACCCACATCCGAGATACCACCCACGCCCTCCACCTCCTCCAAGACTTCCAATTCCCTGGCCCCCAACACCTCATCTTCACTCTTGCCGTCCAATCCCTGTATGCTTGCATTTCCCATGTAGATGGCCTAAAAGCCCTCCACTTCTTCCTCTCGTGCAGGCCCAACCAGTCCCCCTTCACCAACACCCTTATCCGCTTAACTGAATTCGTCCTTATCCTTAATAACTTCTCCTTCAACTTCTCCCACTTCCTACAGACTATGGGGGTGGCCATGGGAACCTGCATAGGCCCAATCGATGCCTGCCTCTTTGTACGATACGTGGAACAGTCCCTCTTCCGCAGGTACACTGGCACTATCCCCCACCACTTCCTCCGCCACATCGATGACTGTATCAGCGCTGCCTCATGCTCCCATGAGGAGCTCGAACAGTTCATCAACTTTACTAACACCTTTCACCCCAACCTCAGGCTCACCTAGACCATCTCTGCTACCTCTTTCTTCTTCCTAGACCTCTCTGTCTCCACCTCTGATGACTGCCTCGAAACTGATATCTATTTCAAGCCCACCAACTCCCACGGCTACCTGGACTACACCTCCTCTCACCCACCTTCCTGCAAGAATGTGATCCCCTACTCCCAATTCCTCCGTCTCCACTGCATCTGCTCCCAGGATGAGGCGTTCCACTCCCGAACATCTCAGATGTCGTCGTATTTCAAGGACTGCAACATACCCCTTCAGTGCTCGAAATTGACCACTTCTCATACGTTTCCCGCACCTCTGCCCTCGCACCCCCTACCCGCAACAAAAATAAAGACCAAATCCCCCTTGTCCTCACGTATCACCCCACTAACCTCCAGAATCAACACATCATTCTCCGCCACTATCACCACCTGCAATCTCACCCCACTACGAGGGATATATTTCCCTCCCCACCCTTATCTGCCTCCCGGAGGGAACACTCTCTCCGCGACTCCCTCGTCTGCTCCACACTCCCCACTAGCCCCACCACCCCCGGCACCTTTCCCTGCAACCGCAGGAAGTGCTAGACCTGCCCCTACACCTCCCCCTCACCTCCATCCCAGGCCCCAAAAAAACCTTCCACATCAGACAGATGTTCACCTGCACCTCCGCTGATGTGGTCTATTGTATCTGCTGCTCCCAATGTGGCCTCCTCTACATCGGTGAGACCAAGTGGAGGCTCGGAGACTGCTTTGTAGAGCACCTACGCTCGGTTTGCGACAAACGACAACACCTTCCAGTCACGAACCACTTCAACTCCCCCTCCCACTCCCTGGATGACGTGTCCACCCTGGGCCTCCTCTAGTGTCACAACGACGCCACCCGGAAACTGGAGGAGCAGCACCTTATATTCCGCCTTGGGAGCCTACAACCCAATGGTCTTAATGTGGACTTTACCAGCTTCAAAATCTCCCCAGCCGCGGCCTCACCCCAAGACCAACCCTCCCTCTCATCCCCACCTCCCTGACCTGTCCGTCTTCTCTCCCACCTATCCGCTCCTCCCACCTCACTGACCAATCCCCACC